AGGATAAAAAATTGATAGACGTAAACTTTTTAATGAACAAATAATGTAAATTCACTGAGAACGTAGTTCTTATTCAATGGCAAAGCCATAGCGAAGGGATGGAAAAAAATTGGTTTTGGGGTTCATCTTTTGTTAAATTAATGGACAAAATGGATTAGAACGTTTAAGAAAAGGAAAAAATTGGTAGAATAGTTGAAAAACATTGGATAAGAAATTTATTACTTCATTTATTTAACATTTTTGCCAATTTTAATAATCAAATAATTAAATTCGAGTGGAAAATATTTAAATAAATAACTTAGGAAAAAAAAGTTTTCTTAGCTAATTTTATTTTTTTTTTGTTTAAAATACTAAACCATAAATTTTCATGTTACTTTAATTCGAATTTTTTTTCTTCCTTTTTTTAAAATTTTTTTAAAAAATTTATAATTTAGAGTTAAAATACAAAAGGTAAATTAATTTTTGAAATTTAGTAGTTATACTAGTACCAACATATACAAGTTAGAAAGTATAAGATGATAAGTAGAGGAATTGTAAGAAAAAAAATTTAAAATCTAAAAAGTAAAAAATGACAAAAATACCCCAAAACCAAAAACATGTGAAAATAGCTTTCCGTTACTTTTTAACAGCCAAAATTAACATAATGACTTCAGATGGATTTTGAGCTTAGTATGGTGATCGATTTTGGAAATAAATTTGATTGATGATCTATGGTGAAATTACCCAATGATTCAATGACTTGTTTCGTGTTTTCAAAAATTAAACCGAATGAAACTGTTATTTATAAATTTTACGGATTTATAAATAAAAAATCATTATTAAATGATGAAATGATTAAATATTTGATCCACAAATAAATATTAAAACTGAATATCAATTATTTATTATATAAAGCAAACAACTCAAAATATAATATTAATCTTTTGATAATATCAGAGACACAACACAAAAATTGATCAGATTAGTTTCGATAATAAATTAACAAGTGATTATTATTTGGGAGAAATTAATTTAGATTATATTTCTAATAATAAGTTAATTTGTTATTATTTCATCAACGTAATTCGTTTTTCGGTTAGCACGTTAAGTTGGTTTGCTTTCATTGGTATATGAGTGGATTTTTTATTATATTCCATAGTAACGTTGTTAAGCAGTTAGGGCTTAGTTGTCCTCAATGATCCAAAGGAGGGCTTAGTAACGTTGTTTTCACTTTTGTCTTTTTAGTTAATTTAATTTTATCTATAAATTTATAATTTTACATAAAAAATTATTGATAAATGATGAAGTGGTGTGGTTCTAATGTGGATTAGGCTATCTAATTTTACGCCATATGTCTGATTGAAAACTCTCATATATTGGCGTAAAATTAGATAGCCAAGTCCACGTGACGAAAAATAAGATAACCAAGTCCACATGTCGCAACCACATCACTTCATCATTTAATGGTAATTTTTTAATGTAAAATTCTAAATTCATAGATAAAACTCTATGGGTAATATAATATTTAAATTAAAAGAACAATAAAACTCTTAGTCTCTTATGGGAGATTTTTAAGAAATAATGTATTTTAGAAAAACCCAAATTTCCAATTTATAGGTAAAATCCCAAATTCCCTTAGCTTCCCGTAAGATTCCCTTTTTTTTTTTCAATCAATTAGAAATAGATTTTCAGAAAATAAAACATAACAATTGAAATGAATAAACTTAAAAATTTGTATGACATTTGTTTTTTTTTTTTGTGTGTGTGTGTGAATCTTAAGCACTGTTTATAAGCTATAAAAAATTTAAAAAAAGAATAAGCTTAAAATTTCAAAGTAAAAAGTACATGTATATTTTTATATACTCACACTATTTCGTAAAAGATAATCCTTGAGAGTTGAGACCGCATTTGATGTTCCTTTATTAAATAATTTCGTAAGAACTTTCAGTAAGAATAAATATTATCATTAAAAAAAGGCTAATAATAAGCAAAAACGCAACATACATACTTGACAAACTCGCCCAAGGAGAGGATAGCCACAAATATTTTTTTAAAAAAAAAATTTCCCAAAATCAGTTACAAAAATCATAATATATGATTATGCCCAAAAATGCCCTTGTGTGTAAACACACTAAAAAAAGAAATTAATTGTGATGGATAAAGTAATCAATTCTTTAGAGTAAGACTCGCCTAATTATATGTTATTCACTGTCTAACCCACAGTAAATTGAATAAAAAATTATATATGTATCTGATAATTATTGTATTTTGAATTAACATGAACCTTTACAACTGAAATGGAAATTAAAACCTCCAAATTTTGTTCTTTGGTAAACCCTTCAATTATAAATTACGTAAGTCTATCCAATTCCTCACGCAAAAAAAATAAAATAAAATAGAAAACTGAAAACAAAAAAGAAAACTAATAAAGAAACTTAGGCTATCATCATGAGACAGAGAGGAGAAAACAACAACACGATAACTAATTAATCATACACATTGATACATGAGCAAAAATTCACGCAAATTAATCTTTTTTTTTAAGCCATACCGATTAATCAAGCAAATGATTATTACCATAATAACTTTCAGTCTTTTATTTATATCGTGACTATAATTATTACGACCATAATGATGATTAATTGCTAATTATTAATAAATTAAATTTCATTCATGACGTGCAGGAGACTGAACATTAATTTTAACATAAATAAATATCAATATCAAATAAAATAAGTTTTTTTAAAAAATAAAACTATAAGAAATACGTGTTTAAATTAATTTATCCCTTATAATATTAACACGTCTAGATAAAATAAATAATAAGATACAAATTTTCAGCGGCCCATAATAAAAATTATTTCATTATACTTAAGAGAATTAATACTTCATACCAGTGCTAAATAATTTTATTTTTTACCTTTTTCTTTTACATATGTATCTTGGAATTCAAGTATGGTATCAGATTTTCACGGATGAATTTTCTAACCTTGATGAAGATTGATAATCTTCAACAAAATAAAAAAAAATTAATTGGATGATTTATTATATATTTTTCATATGATGTAATGGTAGAAAAAATTAACACTATGATGATAAAAAAATGTAGAAATCAATAGGAGAAAAGTTTTTCAAAATGAGAGAAAGAGTAAAGATCTCTTGACAGACAAACAGTAGAAGAAAAGTATATTGAAAAAATTAAAATAATTATATGGAAAAAAAATTGTGCAGTGAATAAGAAAATATGAACAAAGAAATCGAGATAATAATGAAAAATGAAGTAATTATTACAAATTTTTCAAGAAATGAAATTTTAAAGAAAGGTCATCAAATTTAGGGGAAAAAATGGTGAATACTATGCACCCAAAAAAAAAAAGAAAAAGAAAAAGTCAACGCTATATTATAGTAATAATACCGGAACAAACTTCTAATGAAATGTTTAAAAAGGTATATAGAGAGATGGAAAATAAAAATAAGTATATGGAAAAAAATAATGAGAAGATTATCTGTTAGAGGAAGAATTTGAAATATATGTCATGGGATAGAATTATTTAGGAATATTATTACGAAAAATTAAGAGAATACTTTTTAAAATACATAAAGTCATAAATTAACCACAAAAAAAAAGCCACAAGTTACATGGTATGATTTCAAATATTGAAAATTATTCCAAATGTATTTAAATAACAAAACACATTAACATTTAAAATTACATAATTACAATTTATATCATTAATGTTATTTGTTTACATTTAACACTCCGTCGACAATGTCATATAATCTGCTGATATACTCGTGTATCACTACAGACTTTACACTACATTACTCCTGTCTCTATAGACACAGAACAACCCGTACAACGCGCAGAGTAAACACTAGTATATATATATGTATATATATATATATTATATAGATGTAGAGATTATTATTATTATTATTTTAAACTCCTCTTTTGGATTATTGAGGACGTTCGTGTCATTTAACCTGGAGTCATTTCAACAATTGTAATTGATTATCACCATTTACTAGATGCTTGCCCCGAGCGAATGTCCGGGGTGCCGCCTATATTTTTAAATTGATTAAATAAAAAATACGAATCATTCTTAAAAGAATAAAAAAATAGAAGAATAAAAAATCGATTGAAAGGACAGGAAGTGAGTTATTACACATAAATCTATGCCCAAATTTACAACATTTAGTTTACAACAGTTAACTTATGCCTAGGTTTACATAAATCATAAACCAATATCATCCTTAAAAAATCAAATTTTCAGCTTATTTTTTCTCTGTTGTAGAAAGAGATGGATTGATAATTGATGTCAGATTTTAAGTAATTGATTTAAAGGCCCCGGTGTGAGAGGAGCAGAATGGAAGAGATCCTTTGAAATTGGAGATTGGGAAGACATTACTGGTGTTTCACTTGATTTAAGGGAATTTCCTTACATTTGATTTTATCAACTAAATATTGTTGTTTTAAGGGATTAGTATATACCTATAATTAAGATATTTTTATATAGCTATAATTAAGGATTTTATGTATTTATCTATTCTATATTTTTTTCTAATTAGTTAGAGCACCACATGTCAAAAACGATTTTGTACTGAAAATGACTTTTGGCGAGAAATTTTCCATTGTGGTGCTAACACAAGTACTATAGATTTACTTATTAAAGTTAGACAAATTTTAATCTCTTTTTTTTCTTTGAAAATAAGAAAAAACTGTAATGCATTACTTATTTAATAAGTTTGTTAATTGTTGGTCCCAAATACATATAAGGATTGTTACAGTAATTACAAATAGAATATTGTCAATTTTCTAAATACAAATAAAAATGTTATCTCCTTTTTTTTTAAAAAAAACAAACTTTTCATTAAACTCGCTGGAATTCAATCAACTCTCGTTAATACAGAAAGTTTGAAATAGTTAACCGAGTTTCCACGTCTCAAGATTGGGATGTGAATGGTTAGCTATAACATGTGCTAATCCATTCTTCAAACAGGAAATCTAAGGCTGAAAAATTTAAGAAATAGATGTTGATATTGGGAAAAAATCTCATGATTATAAATAAATAATTTTAACTGGACCATAATTTATTCCTCCAAAAAAAAAAAAAAAAACACTCTGTATTAGTAGTTCCTTCTTTTTCCCCTGGGAGAATCAATTCAATCACTTTTATTTTATTTTTATTTTGATAACGAATCAATTCCATTACTGATAGTCAAATAGCAAAAAGAAAAAAAAACACACCAAGAATCCCCGACCACGATACAATCCCCCAAGGCGTCGGAAGCGATGGCGAGCGGTGGTGCCGGCGGTAAAGTATCCTTCAAAGTGACTCTAACTTCCGATCCAAAACTGCCGTTCAAAGTGTAAGTTCATCAAATTCCTAAATTCAATTGTTCTTTCTCCCCGTCCTTTCTTTTTCTCTTTTCCTAATTAATTCTCATTTTCATCGAGGGTTTTTTGTTTGCTGAATGAGTTTTCGTAATCTTCTTGCAGATTTAGCGTGCCTGAAGCTGCCCCTTTTACTGCTGTCCTCAAATTCGCTGCGGAAGAATTTAAAGTTCCTCCACAAACCAGTGCCATCATCACTAATGGTAATCTAATTCAGTTTTCGTGAATACGATTCTTAATTTCTTTTGGCTGTGGTATATTCTTCTTCAAAAGTTCATTTATTGCTTCTTCAAATAGCTTAAATACGATTTTTGTTAGAATTCAAGCAGGTAGATTTTTGTTGCAGTGTCGAATTGTGATTAGAAATCGATTGGATGAATAAATACTCGTTGTTAACCAAAGATAATATTTTCTGTGTTTTGAGTATATAAAGTTCAAAAGTTTGTGTAAGGAGTTTGAGGGGTTTGACAGCGAAGTATTGATGATCTGGTCTGGAAAGATAATGATTTGGTAATAAGATACACATTTTTTCTTTGGATGCTGAGAGGAACTATTCATTTTGTGAAATTCTCGGAACTGAATGTGTGATTGATTGGAAGATTGTATGGGTACATAAGTAAGTGAGAAGGAGTTTGAAACTCAGGGTTTTTCATATTTCTAAGGCCCCGAAATACTGAGTGTAACAACAGTGTGGATAAAGCAGAGGAATTTTGCTGAAATTTAAGTTTTAATGTGTTCTTTAATACTTATCCATGTAGGAATGTTTTCTTTCAAATTTACAGCAAATTTATGGATAGAAATCATCTCAGTTTTCAAACATTTCTGTTTGGGTCAAATTTCTCATATATGTCTTTGATATATATTTTTCAAATTCTCTTATCAAGTTGTTGGCCAAGTTCAACAGTGTTTGAAGTAACTTCGAAATTTGTTCCTTTGCAGATGGTGTGGGAATCAATCCTCAGCAGAGTGCAGGTACTTTATGCTATTGAATTTGGATTGTGATCTTATATTCACTTGAGCTTTCATGTGTCATTCTCTGATGCTCTATGTTAGCTTCTTTCGTTGGACCTTTTCTGCATGTTTTACTAATAGCTTGTATGTCAGATGTGCATTATGCTCTCCTGTCTTTGATTCTATTAGAAGTTAATTGAATTTCAATTAGATCCTGGTCGATATGGTTAACAAATATTCAATATTCCATATGCTTTTCATCTTGGATTAAATTTAGTGTCTTCATCTTTTGCATTCTCCCCTTTACTTATCTGACGTATAAAGAAGAATGAGTTAAACGTGGGACTGGATGTTGGCTTTTACAAGGATGTCATTTTCATTATAGAGAAGCATATAAAATGATATACAAATTGGTGATGAGGGATAGATTAGTTTTCTTGCAAAGGTTATACTCAGACGGGAACCTGTATAGTGAGATCTGATCCTGCATTTATTGTTTTTTATGAGGCATTGCTGACTCATGTATTTTTGCTTATGATTTACTTTTCATTTTTTTTATCCTTTTCTGGAGGGGAGTGGTTGGCGGGAAGCAAATATAGTTAGGACTGACTTGTCCTTATTTTATGATTTTACTCATTTATTTGTCCAACGTATATATTTACATGTTTATTATTTGTGATATGAAGGAAATGATACATCTGTAACGTCTAATACCACTCTATTTACTGGGCTCAATTTGGAAAAGAACCTTTGTAGATTACCAAGTGATCAAAATGAGTCCCCAGTGTGATGATCCGAAAAGTTCAGGAGTTTAGGCACTTGCAGAATGCTAGTTGAGTAATGTTAGGTGTGTGATGGATTCTATTATGATTACATACTCTGCTTTGTGCTTACTATATTTTCTTCCCATAAAGTGTGGCTGGAAGCTAATTTGTTATTGATATACATCATGAGCATGTTTTGTGGTGTGGAAGTTGGGAAAACCACATTGCAGTTTTTAAAATTCAGGACACGGCATTTGAATGAAGTTGAGGTGGAAGATGCAGAGAGAATTTATCTTGATCTGTTACCCTTTCGAGGCAGTTGTTTTTGCAGTGTGATCAGATCAGTTTTGAGTCTTGTTTTTGACTAGAGTGTGGTGCCTTATGATTATTAAGTTGGCTGTATTGATCAATTGATCTGATATACTCATTGGAATGCCCTCATTTTTGTGCACATTGCTGTTTTTGTACAGTCTTTTAACTCAAGATTAGATCATGTTATTTGTCAATGATTCATATCCCATCTTTTGCAGGCAATGTCTTTCTGAAACATGGCTCAGAACTTCGTTTGATTCCCCGTGATAGAGTTGGGGCCTTTTGAATAAGATAAAACTAGATTGAAATTATTGTAATAATAAGTCATATGTCCCCTGTTTTCTCCAGATGGTCATGAGGCTCTTGCTTGTCAACTAACTGATAGACAACACAATGACCTGATAACCAAAGTTTCTGTACTCTATTTCCTGAACTTCTGACATAAAGGGGTATACCTTGAGGATCAACTGAATTCTCATTAGATCCGTTGATGTTTCCAGTTAATTTGTGTTCGTCCTCGTTTAGTCCCGCGACTTAGTTTATTCATTTCACGATCTTATAGTGATTCAAATATGATCTTAGTTATGATCTCTAGTTCAATGGATAAAAGCTAAACCCAAGGAAATCTCGAGTCCACATGGTGTAAGATTGACCGGACCAGATTCTCCTCGTAGAAAAGATTAATCCACAAAGTAAATGATTTGGTCCCTATCTCATATCTGTGATCCATTCCTCTTATGTTCTATCCATTCCTTTGCCTTCCGGACATGTTTCCAAATGAATTATCTTAGAACAGGATATTATTTGTACCCCATCATGGTTATGAAGTGGAGGGGATATTTTAATTATGTATATATACATATATTGTGGATTAGTTTTCTTGTGATATCGAGTAGCCATCTGCATACAACACGGTAGATGTTTCCAGTCCCCAAAATTTAAGGTCCACATCTACTAAGCTAAACTTGTAAGTTGCCTTTTATTTCTTGAAGTGCTTTTTTCAATTGAATCAAAATTCCAATAGCAAAGTCATTTTTTGCTTCTAAAGTTACAAGCTAAAATGATTTTTTACATGAAACTGGAGTACATACACAAATAGAATCCCTATATCTAGATAAACTTGAGCAACTCACATGGAGGGTTAGCTGAAATGGGTTGTAGAGTCTAAGCATGAGTGTCAAGAAGTAATCGCAGAACCCACCCCCTATTTTCCGGCCTCCAGTGGACTTCCTCGGGAACATCCCTTAGGAATGGCTCCGATTGGACTATATTACTCCCTAAGGGATTTTTCCAGGGAGTCGGGATGCTAGTGGATTCCAGGGCTTACACTTGTTCCTCCGGTGATTGAGAATGAGAAAAGATGTTGCTTGTCATGGTTTTCCTGATCCGCAACAGTATCCTTTAGCGATATGTTAGGCAGATTTCCTAGCTGGGAAATTGTCCTTTGAACAAGGAGATCAAGTTCTTCACGTCTAGCCTCTTCATAGCTACCATCTGCAAGTTTGTGTAGCAGTTTCAGGTCCGGGTCATAAATCTTTTGTGCAACAAGTCCGGGATACAGTTTACGGGGAGGGATCTGTTTGTTTTGGGGTATGAAATGCACTACAAACTTGTGCATGACACGCTCAGCAGGAAACTCTTCCTGGTGAAAACTGTAAAACACCTCTCCTTTGAAACGAGGTTTCCAACATCCAAGATCTCTCCTTTGTGCCTCTTCAGGACGATAAAACATCTGCCCCGTCACAATAACTTTCTGATCAGGTGTCTCAGCAATGCCCTGCTGACAGAATAATAAATCATCCCTTGGAGATAATACATATTTAGGGCGAAAGTGAAAGGTGCCTTTTTAAGTAACTGAACATCATCACGCAACAATCAAGTACCAAGTCTCGATCTAGTTTTACTATTTACACAACTTGGGAAATGAGGATGAAAAAGTAGTACCAAAAATACGAATAACGACCAATATCCTCCAATTTCGAACTGCTTGGATAACTAGTATTTTAAATCTGCATGCAGTCTAATAGTATCACATTGTAAGCTCTCCATGCATCCTCTGTTTCACCATTGAAAGAATATCACAGCAGAAATCAGAGAATTACCTTGATTATAGCCATACCAGGCTTCTGATTTGGTTCCTCAGGTGCTAAAAATACTGGATCACCCTGAATAAGGAGACATGCACATCAAAATCTTCACTGGAAATTGCTTATACTCTTGAAATGGCTTTGGAACTCTGAAAGCTCACCGTACACAATGCAAATCTGTTCAGGAAAGACATCCAATGAACCTAAGAACCTAATGCAATAGACAAATTTTGGAAGCGCAATATAATAAACTAGAATTCTAACAGGATGAATTCCCACTTAGTTTTTACATTAAGTGGAGTTTTTTCTGGTACGGACTGAGGGCTTTTTTGGGTCTTCTCTTCATTTCATGGACACAACAGAACTCAATCACTAGCATCTTTTTATAGAGAATGCAAAATCAAAATGGAAGCAAGAAAAAGAAAAGGGAGAAATCCACTCACTAGACTGAATAGATTTCCATCGTAGGAGAAGGCTTCATAGTACTCTCTTCCCTCATTTCCACTTCCACAAATCCTAATCAGATTACCAAGCGGATGAGGGTCCTCCACCGTCATCGCCGGAGCCTCTTGTTCCCCCTTTGGGTCCACGATTTCCGTCGTCTCCAGCGTCGATAGGTTGTCGTTGTCAACGACTACCGGAACCCGAACCATGATCGGAGTAAATTAATGAAGATCAAGGTCACCAAAACTAGGTAGTGTTTGTTCCTCCTGATCCCTTACAGGAAAAGGCCAAAATAGTGGGTGGTGTTTGTTAATGGCTGCATGGATACGTATATACACAGTATATAGTATTATAGTCCAATCAATCAAACTTCCCCCTAGGCTCGTTATCAATGCCTAGGTACTCGGGTTTGACTTTCATTGAATGCGTTATCATCAGATTCTAACGAACATGAAAACCAAAAAAAAAAAAAACAGAAAACAAAACAAAAACAGTGGGAAAATTTAAAATTTTATTGAAAATCACGAGCTTAACTATAGAAATTTGGTGGAGGTGGTGAATGTACTATAGCAAACTATTCTCGAATTAAGTCCTATATGAATATTCATCAATAATTGATCGAAATCTGAACATTTATCCGGCATGAATATGGATGAATCATATACCAGGTTATACAATGAATAAAAAGTTTAAAATCTAGTTTGCCTATTAGCGAGGCCAAGACTGGAGATTCGGACTTGGCTTTTCGCTTGTTCAGCTAGGCAAGACAGAAAAAGTAGTGGTAAATGTATGGAAAATTTTTGACAAGAAAATTTATAAGAAATGATGTAGATGAAATTTTAACTATCATATGACTCTTAAAAATATAAACTCTCAAAGAAAAGATACAAGTATGAGCGGTTATGATTCATTTAAATATTCCGTAAAATTTCCCTACTCGAATTATTATCCAAACTGAAACTCGTAAACTGCTTCTGGTACAGAAGATTGGGAGACTACCACAAGGCCCTATCAATCTATTTCCATTAAGCTACAATCTTAAACTAATTACATCTATTCATCGGTAACTTTTGTACGTAAGAATCTATGAGCATCTTAGAATAAATAAAGTTTTTTTTCCCCTTACAATCCTACATTTTGCAAAAGAAATAGAGGGGGTAAATTATTTTCTTGTTGGACGGTTTCTTGTCGAAGAAGTGGTAAAGAAAATAAAAAACAAATTATTTGTATTAATACAAGTTTATATGCTCTTCTTGAATTATATTTTGTTAAATAAGAATTGGATAGACATGATGGAGAATGAGTCTCTTTGTAACCTTGTATCTGGTTGTTTGCTGCTCCAATTAATCTTGAATAATTCGTAGGGATATCACTATGATCAAAGGGTTATTTGTTCGATTTGTTCCCCTCTACTCCAATGTCTTGAGTATTTTTGCATGATTTGTATCAAAATGATTGTTATAACTGTTAACATTATGCTCGTTTTTGTTTCAAGTTGGACATTCACCCTTACTAATTTCGAATGTTTAACGTCCATACACATGGATTTGTTGTTGAAAAAGCTCCAGACAAACTGATTGTAGGGCTAGCTAGTTAAGTTTTTGATTGCCGAGTGAAGATTCTAAGCTTATCCTGGAGTACAACGCTTACGTCTTATTGCCCACAAAAAACAAATGTTGTAAAAAATGGAGACTGTTACCAAAATCTTCGCTGTTTCTAAAACATATATGTACTCTTCAAATGGCTTCGAACAGTGGCGGAGTTAGGAGATCAGCAATGGCGGTCGTCCCTCTCGTCAGAATTTTTTTATAAAGGAGGTATTTGAAAATGTAGTGTAAAAGTTCTCTTTATTTTTGTCCTTGCAAATCTTATATTTTATCACTTTACCCTGCAATCACTAAATCCTAACTCCCCCACTTGCCTCGAAAATTATAGACGAACAACAATTCAATTCAAATATATTCAGAAAAGAAATTCAAATGTGTTGGCTAATTGGAAAGATTTATCACCCGCAATTCGTCAAGTGAATTTATACCAGTCCTCTTCGCTTTAACAAGCTTTTGTTTTATGATGTGAAAGCAAATTAGCACAGTAATTTAGATAAACATTAACTGCAAAGCACTTAATTATAACTACGGTTTGGCAACGCCCAAGACACGAAGTTTGTCGTACCAAATTAATCCGTTATTATCTCAATTTCATTATGTAAGTTAACTAAATAAATGTATTATAATGTCACTTTCATTGAACAATACAATTTTTTTAATTATTTTTTCCAAAATATCCTTGTCTTTTACTAAATACCAAAATTATAAAATTCCAATAAAACTTTACATTCATAAATAATACGTAATGATTCTCGTGTAATGTAAAGTGAATTTGTATTGTGAAAATGAAAGTAGTAATATCCTAACATGCATAAAAACATATTACAACTCAATCCCAAACAACTCTCCAAATTGTTAATTCTATTTTTTCATCCTCGAATAAGAACCTCTCTTTTTCTATAAAAAAGAAAAAAACCTCTCCTTTAAACCTTATTTAGAAATATGTGAATTGGCACACTCGCAGCTTCCACTATTTTCTGTTGTGATATTCTTTCTTTCCATTTGTCCTCTCCTTTTTTCAGCTAAATTTCACATCATTCATTAGCTCCTTCAATGAAGATGATCAAAATTTATATATAGGCATCCCTAACCAAATTCTCGTAGTCTCAAGCACATTAAGGCTAGGGTTTACACACATTTTTTTTTTTGGTTTGTGCCCAATAACCCTCCCTTTTTTGTGCATGTTTTTGGGCCATGACAAAGTACTTTTCTCCTTTGTGCATCTTGATGATAATTTGGTGCATTTGGGCTCCCATCAGTACTGCTAGTTACGGTAATTTGATCGGTTTTACCACTCCCTCAGTCTTTTCAAATTCTTAGCTACAATTTCGCGCACTGTTTCTTTGATTTCCTCGCACCCCCACCCAATTAATTTATCATTTGTTTTTGAATTGCAGATGGGACAACCTATAGTTCATTTGCATCCACTGAGGTGACACAAAACATACTTCATGCACTATCATTTTCATCTTTCCATCATATTATTACATCTTTTTTAGGAGTCCCCAGCTATTTGACATGTATCATTTCGCTAAACTATGATAAACAAATGTTTCGGTAGGGCTTAGGCTCAGAAAGAATAATATCTTGATGGTATTAAATATGAGACACAAATTAATACTAAAATTAGTTTAAATTCGTGTACGCATGATAATTAGGAATAGCTTTTACCAAAAAAAAGTTAATTAGGAATAAAGAAAGTAACTTTTTTTTTTTTTTTTTGGGAAAATGTTTGTTGCAATGGAAAAAAATGTGCACATAATGTGAAAAAGTGTGTTGATTTTTTTCTTTTTTTTTATCCCTAAAATACAATACAAACAAATCATTAATATGGTGGTGGACCTGGTGGTGATATTTGGAACAGTGTAAACGACATCCAGAAGAGCCCCTTTACGATGGAGGGCTCCTGATGGATAAAGAAACCCAGTATACTTGGGTCAATGGGAGTAACCTAGTTCTTTCCCCTTCTTTTGCTTTGCAAAACCTCACAAAGGACACTTATTACTGCTTTTCTGGTAATTCTCCTTACTCTTTGACTCTCATTTTCAATTTTTATTTTCGTGTGAAATTGTTCACTTTTAATTTATTTTCTCTATCCTTATTAATAATTTTGGGCCATTTCAGCTTGGGTCAAGACAAACGATACAAGCCTGACACTCATTAGGGCCAGCCTAACTACGGAAATAGAAACTCTAAACTGTACAGGGACTGTTCTGGCCCAAAAAGGGTGCTGGTCATTTCTTAAGGGTGGATTTATGTTAAATTATACCTCCAATTCACCTCTTCTCTATTTTCAGGTAGGTACCCCCCTTCTTTTGGTATGAAATGAAAGGTTTTATTACATAGTTACTCCCTCCGTCCCGAGATAATTTGGGAAGGGCAATATTCCTTCTCCTCTAAAAAGAGTAAAACTCGAACACAAAATCATTTTGGAATGGAGGTAGTATTCCTACTCCTTAAAAAAAAAAACTTTGTTGAACTAAAAAAGTATATTGAAACAGACTATTTTTATGAAACCGTGTGAAGTTTATTTTTCCTTTAGTAAAGAAAAAAATCAAAACATGACATTTTGTTAATAAGTATCGTTAAATGTTTTTGGCAGAATCCGCAAGGCAAAAATATCAATGTTCAGATTGCCAACCCTGCATTGGAGCCCTTCAGCAAGGAGCAATGGAGATTGGACCAGGAATATAAGATCAATAAGGTAAATTCAAAGAACTATGCGTTAGACAAAAGTATGCAGAACATTAACATCAACATTCGGTTCTAAATGTTTCAGGGAAGGAAACGAGAAGTTATCATTCATGTTTCAAATAAAAATGGCCTTAAGCTGAAAGGAGCAGATGTGACCGTAAGACAAAAATCACGAGATTTTCCATTTGGATCAGCCATTTCAGCAAGCATCATTGGAAATTTGCCATATCAGGTATTTATAGAAACCAGCTCGCTGTTTCCTCTGGTTTCGTTTACAAAGTGTTTCAATCATCAGAATAATGATGTTTCAGAAATGGTTCACTGAGCGATTCAACGCGGCGGTTTTCGAGAATGAGCTCAAATGAGATGCAACAGAGCCAGAACAAGGCCAAATCAACTACACAATACCTGATCAAATGTTAGAATTCGTTCGATCCCACCAAATCGCAGCTCGCGGACACAACATTTTCTGGGAAGATGCCAAACACAATCCACCATGGGTGGTTAATTTAACAACTTCCGAGCTCCAATCAGCTGTGAATTCCAGGATCGAAAGCGTCGTGGGGAGATACAAGGAACAATTCATTCATTGGGACGTCAGCAATGAGTTGCTACACTACGATTTTTATGAACAGAGGCTTGGGCCTAATGCTTCCCTGGAATTCTTCAAGAGGACCCACGAATCCGACCCGTTGGCCACATTGTTTTTGAATGATTATAGAGTTGTTGAGACTTGTGATGGTGTGATGAATGCAACTGTAGATTCCTTCGTGTCGAAGATGAAGGAGTTAAGGAGAGGAGGAGTTTCGATGGGCGGAATCGGGCTCGAGAGCCATTTTCGTGTGCCGAATTTGCCTCTCATGAGAGCTGTTCTTGATAAATTGGCTACACTTGAACTCCCAATTTGGCTTACCGAAGTTGACATCAGTAAAACTGTTGGGCCGGAGAAACAGGTACATCAGTAAAAAGTTGAATCTATTCTGCTCTGGTTAAAAAACAGAGTTAATTTGTGTCCTGTTTTTTCTTTGTCCAGGCTTTGTATCTGGAAGAAGTTTTGAGAGAAGGATTCTCACATCCATCAATGAAAGGAATAATGCTCTGGTCAGCCCTTAATCCAAATGGCTGTTACCAAATGTGTCTTACCGACGACAAATTCAACAACACGCCGGCCGGTGATGTTGTGGACAAACTGCTGAAAGAGTGGCAAACAGGGACGATCAATGGCCAAACAAATGAACAAGGATCATTCGTTTTTCAAGGTTTTTTGGGAGATTACAAAATTAGTGCTAGGTATGGGGATACAGTTGTTAACTCAACTTTCTCCCTTAGCCAAGGCGATGAGACCAAACATTTTAGCATTCAACTCTGAGTTCTTTTTTTTTAAAAAAAAAAAACACTTCAGGCCAATTAGTTGGTTAATTGATGGTACCATTTCTTTCCCACTTGCGCTTTGTACCTTACACACATTAATTTTAATTTGTATTTGACTTATGCCTCCTTCACTGTACCCGAAAAAAGAAAATAAAAAACACGACATAGTTTTCATAAATCTCATAGCTATTTTGGGCCTGTTTCATAGTTTTCTTTGGTCCCAACTGGGATCAATACAAAAAAATAAAAAAATCTAATTTAATTTATAAAATAATAGTTTGTCGAAAATGAGTTCTGTTTCTATTTCTGAAGTCAATTTTATAATTGACACAAATGTTGTTCTCTGCAAAGGTGTGTTCGAGAGATAATCCCTTGCACAGAAGAGAAACTCGTGGATTAAGCATTGGACCCATATGGATCCCCAAGTACTCTTGTTTTTTTCAAGTGTAATAGTCATGTACCATAAATTTGCCGCCTTACAAAATACTGAAAGTGTTTTTTTAAACTAAAAGTTACTACATGATTCCAACGATTTTATTTAAATATAGTTCCGTTCTCAAAAGTTGCATTGGCACCAAGAGAATGCTATCTTCGTGTAGTAATTTTTTCACTAATTTATCTAAAAATACCATAATTTGGAGGTTTATATGCATTCTCCCTATTAAGTTGAAAAATAATTTTAAGTGTCACCATAAGTTAAAATGTTGTATCTTTTTACTTTTCCATCTATTTAAGGTTAAAAAGTTAACGGTCAACTTTCTTTATCAAAAAAAAAAAAAAAAAAAAAAAGCTAACGGTCAATTTTCCAACCTTTGATTTGTCAAAAGGGTAATTTTGTCTTTTAATCAATTTTATTTTTGTGATTTATAGAAATTTATTTCCATCCATAAAAAAACTGATTTTGTTTTCTGATTTTTTTTTGGTTACTTACCCAGGTTTTCGTACATATTAATAATTCATAAACTCAAAAAAAAAAAAAAAAATCATAAACTTAAAAAAAAAGGCAAAAAAAATTTACAAAAAAAACGATTCACCCACTTTCCTACCAAAACCGCCGCCCACCCCTCCCACGGCCACCATTCACTTTACTCTTATCTCCTGAAATAAAAACCACCACCACCATCAACACTCCTGAGAGGCTACGACCACCATCACAAAATTTCACTCCCACCAAATAAAAATTGTTCTATTTTTTGTTGAGCCGCGTTACCTTTCTCTTCCTACTCACCCGCCGCCAGTTTTAAGGGTTGTCGAGATCATCAACGTCAAATTCGATATAATGAGTGCTGCTTTGGCAGAAAGCAACTTACTTCCTCCTTATCTAAAATCAGGAATAGATTTTTGGTGTGTGGTTGGGGTTTTATTTGTGGATCTAGGGTGTTCGGGGCTGACGGATTTTGTAGCTTTTTGGTTGATTTAGCAGTCGGATCTAGAGCTGGTTTGTTTTAGAATCAAGGCGGAAAGTTTGTTGCCAAAGATCTAGAGTTTTGGCTTTTCTGGATAGATTTAAATTTTGGGAATTGACAATCAGGATTTCATTGCAAGCAATTGTAGTGATCCACGTATTTGACTTTTGAATCACTGGTTCTGCAATTTTTCATGATTAGAGAATATTAGACTTTTTGGGTTTTTTTTTTTTTTTTTGAAAATTGTACCTGCATATATTAGTTAAAAGAGTTTAAACTTTTACATTTAGCTAGATTATATGCTATATTATGCATCTCAGCTACAACATCCCGGAGAACTTTAGTTATAGGAAAGGAAATGAACGACTTGAAAATGGTTCTAATCTCAGCAATTAATTCTTGAACTTCAACCGGTGATTGATCGGAAATCAATTTGGTTGCCAAGAACTCACAATCTGTGAGCACAAGAATGTGTTGGATGTTCATGCTTGTAGCTTCTTGTATGGTATACAGCAGTGTCTGGGCTTTTACTTGTAGGGGGTAAGTGCATGGAATTTCCGAGATTTAATTTGCTGAATCATTCCATTCTCTGTGGTGATTTTCCATGTTCCCGCCGCTTGCAATGATGCCGGAAGGAAAGATCCATCTAGCATGATAGTGTGTCCTTGTGAGGGTATATCGAGGTCATCCATCTTTGCTATCTCCTCTGTTTGGATCAAATTTCCCCGATTTTAGTTCCAGTCTTTCATACAAAGATTGAGATGCAGGTTGTAGTCTTGTGTGATTGTATTCCACATCCTTGTACAAACACCCTGTCGGTCTTCCTGTTGTGGACGCCAAACTCTATCATTTCGGTCCTTCCAAATTTCCCAAAGAACAAAGATGGACAACTCAATTGCCATCACATCAGGAGCTGTTTTGATCCACTCCAGGAACCAATCTTTGAAGGGGATGGCTTGACCTGTGTCGAAATTAAAACCTAAGCTCGTGATTCTCCAAAGCCTCCTTGAGGATGGGCATTCCAGGAATAGGTGTGAAACATCTTCTAATTGTAACTGACATTTCGGACATAAATCCTCTTCTATGACTCCTCTTTTCAGCAAGCCTTGTTTTGTTGGAAGTGCATTATGAATCCCTCTCCAAACAAAGAGTTTTATTTTTGGAGGTATCTTGGTTTTCCACAAAAGTTTCCATGCAGCCTTCTCTTGACGTATGGCACTTAAATCCAAAGGGTATCCTTTGTTGAAAGCTACCTTGTAGCCTGATTTAACGGTGTACATGTCATGCTCCGTTTTTGTCCAAAGTAGTCTGTCGTTCTCCTCTCTCCGCCTTGGATCAATGTGGATTCCCCTGGATAAAAGGCAATATCATGGGGGGAAGATCTTTCTAAGCAATGATGTCTTCCAGGAGCCATTTGCATTGAGCAGGTTGGCAACTCTTATGTCAATGTTTGTTGCCAGGATGGAATCACTAGTAATTGGATTGTCCCTTAATGGGATCCAGTTGTCACTGATCTTAATGCTGTTTCCGGAAACTACTTTTCACCTGAGCTTCCCCTTTAATAACTCATAGCCTCATAGGATGCTTCGGAATTCCCATGACATGGCAGTACCTTTCTCTGCGACGATGAAACTTTTTCCTTTGCAGTATTTACCTCGAAAGAAACGTGATATGAGAGAATTTGGAGCAGAGAGTATTTTCCAAGCATGCTTAGCAAGTAGTGCTTGATTAAACTCCTCCATCGATTTGAGTCCTAGCCCTCCATGCAATGTCGGTTTACACACCTTATCCCATGATCTCCAAGTTATGCCTCGACTTTCCTTATCACCACACCAGATGAATGCACCTAAGATCTGATTTGCCTTTTTTAGGGTATCCTTGGGCAACTTGAAAACACCCATAGAGTATACTAGCATTGACGAGAGCGTCGACTTTGCTAATTTGACTCTTCCTGGCAAAGATAGCAACTTGGTTTTCCAATCCCCCAACTTGTTGCTTAGCTTACTTGTAAACTGCGAAAAAATGAGTCTCTTCTTTTCCTCGAAATCCGGACTCATCCCTAGATATTTGCTGTGAAAATTAATAGACTGAATACCCAGTGTTTGATGTAATAGGTCTTCTGTTCTTGTGTAGTATTCTGACTCAATAGAATTGAGGACTTGGAATGGTTAATTTTCTGTCCCGATAGTCTAGCATATTGAGAAATCGCATGAGCCAAAGCTTTGATAAATGATTCTTTACATTCAAGATGACTTTTTGGGTTTGATTTTCATGGATAAAGAGACACATTTGGTGTTGGACTGTTAGCTGCGTCCTTGAACAAAGAATAAACTGTTTTGGAAGACAATAAAATTTTTTTAATATTCCCTTCGTCCCATAATTATTGTCCAATTTGGGTTTTCATTTCTAGTTCAAATTGTAATAAAAATAAAATCTCAAACTGGACAATAATTTTAGGACAAAGAGAGAAAAAAAATAGATGGAATTTTTTTTTTATAAATTACATATCGAATGACAAAATTGCCCTTTTGACAAGTTAAAGGTTAAAAAGTTGACCGTTAATTTTTTAACAGTGAATAGACGGAAAAGCGAAAAAATACAACATTTCAACTTATGCTACCACTTAATTATTTTTTAACTTAATGGAGGAAATGAATATAGGCTCTCAAGTTATGGTACTTTTTGAATAAATTAGTACTCCCTCTGTCCTACAAAAATAGTCCAGTGTGATAAATAATCTTGTCTCACAAACCAGTTTTAAAAAGTCAAAATAAAAACAATACCATAACATCCCTAATACTTAAAGATTATTACATTGGTGGCGGCGGTAGATGTGTATTATATATGTAACAATGCAGTCAACAAAATAAATCACTATCGTAACAGTTGGCATTTTTCCATTGAATTTCATCTCAGTTAAATTATACTGCCATTTCCTAAAGTCAACCTGTTTCTTAAGGTACTAGCTGGCATCAAAATTTACATCAACCTGCAGTCTAGTCTGTCTAGAACTCTAGATGTACATCGCACAAACATATTCTGTTTATGCATCTAAAAGACACTAAAGGTCTAAAGCAACACCAATAGTGGATCAACAAAGCCAGAAGCAGACGCTAAGAATTTGCTACATTAATACCTAAAACCATGTCAGTATTCTCAAATTCGTGTTTCTTCAACTCTTAGGCATACCTTCATCATCTAGCTCAAGGTCAGGAAGGTCTCCTAGGCGGGATGTCGTATTCTGAATTAAGAGATCAATTTCATTTTGTCTTCTCTCTCCAAGACTTCTTTCTCTCAGGTTGTATAACCGCTTCAGTTCTGTGTCATAAATGCTTTGCACAATGAGACCCGGATGCTGCACACGGAGAGGAATCTGCTTGTTCCGGGGTATAAAATGCAGTACAATTTTGTGCATGACTCGCTCTGCAGGGAACTCTTCCAGGTGAAAACTGTAAAACACTTCTCTATTGGAACGGGGTTTCCAACATCCAAAATTTGCCCTTTGTGCCTCTCCAGGGCGATACAACATTCGCCCAGTTACAACAAGCTTCTGATCAGGTTTCTGGGCAATGCTCTGAAAGCAAAATCACAGTTCATTACTTAAAGAGAAAAGACATCCGGGAATGATCAAGTAACCTGTATCAGGGGAATGCAACACTGATTGAGTTTTATACCCAATGTCGTTGTCAAATTATTAAAAAAATGCTGATACTAGTAAATTGTATGGACCTCTTATTTCCAGGAGAGAGGCAGTATTAACAGGATCAGTATCAAAATTCTTCCAGAGAGAAAATCTAAGAGGCCATTACAGTACCTAAACCATTCCACACACAGAAGACTAACAGTTGTGATGCGATTGGGAAAGCATGAGCAATTGTGAAGTACCAAAGTAAAGTTCCATGGGCAAGCTATGAAACTCAATCAACTCACGGCATAAAAATGCAAAGTCGAAGAGCTTCAGAAGTACAATTTACCATCAGGGAAACACGAATGAACAAGGCATAAGCAAAATCCTAATAATTAGTAAAAAAAAATTAAGCCTCAAGTTTCAAGTTGCCTGGATAAATCACCGAATCTACAGGCATTCTAACATTGACAATACTTTACAACTTATCAATCTATCATCCTCTGTTTCACAAATGAGAGCAAGATCGCGAATTCAGGAATGTACCTTGATTATAGCCACCCTAGGCTTCCCATTTGGTTCATCAGGTACTAAATACACAGGATCATCCTGTAATTCATAAAATCAAAGATTGAAGAATTTTTAGTGTCATGTTCCCAAAATCTTCACTGTTTCGAATTCTTGAATTGGCCTCAAACATCTAGAGCAACCTTTTCTTTTTATGAATCTATTGCGAAAATCATTCAATTACATTATATGCCAATTGCATTAAGCAGATACCTATAGCAGAATAAATTTCTTCTAAGATTTCATCGTTTAGGTTTTTCTCCATGTAAAGAAAACAGAATTTTGTTTCCGGCAACACTGATGAGACGAAAACATTCATCGCACACAACCACAAAAATGCTGCAAACAGTCGAAATTAGACAGAAATGAAGTCAAGAAATCACTCACAATATGGAAGGAATTCCCATTGTAGGTGAAAGCTTCATAGTGGTATATCCTCTCGCTTCCTGTTCCCAAACTCCTAATTTTAACACCAATTGGAAGAGCTTCCTCCTCTTCCTCCGACTCCGGATTATCCTGTTCACCGCCACTGTCACCACCGGCGGCCGCGATGTTGACATCAGCTTCGTCTTCCCCTTCTGCCTCGCCGATAATCATCTTGTTTTTCGGCCGCGGCACTTCTCTTCCTTTGAATGCTTCGAGCAGCCGGCAGAGATAAGGAACCGCCGGACCCTGCTCTTCCTCCGCCATGTTTTGCTCCTTTTGAGAATTATCGGAACAGGACTTCCATTGTAGAAAAAGGTGTTGGGAGAGAATTTTGGGGTACGAAATCCAAGGCGCCAAAACTAGGTAGCCTTTTTCAGTCGTAATAACTAGGTTGATTCCTTCCCAAAATAAATGTGCAACATCCCTCTTGGCTTCATAAATGTTTTAGTCGTAACTCGTAGTAATAATTTGCCTAATTCCTTCGCCAAATAAATGGTTATCCTCTTGCCTAATCCGAATGATTATGAATTTTAGTACTCCCTCCATTCCAAAATAAGTATCGGTTTAGCAAAATGGAGAAATTCCAAAATAAGTATCGTTCTCACATTTCAATGCACTTTTTGTCAAAAATTTTCAAAATTACCCTCTAAAGAGTTGATGCTATTGGTGGACAATTTTATAATGGGGTTGGTCGAGGATATTCAAGTAATTTTATTACCCTATTTAAGAGTTTCTTAAACTATGTGTAAAGTGTAGGACGACACTTATTTTGAAATGGAGGGAGTAGTATTTTGTAACTCAGTTCGTCCCTAATCAGGAATAATTATGAATTTCACTAAAAAGTTTATTAAAAAAATGATTTTTAGTACATAATTCTTTCTATTCCCTCCGTCCCAAAATTATTGTTCAGTTTGGATTTTCATTATCGTTCAATTTGGATTTTCATGAAAAGCCAAACTAAACAATAATTTTGGGACGAAGGAAATATATAAGAAGAAAGAAAGCCAATGACTTGGATTACAAAACAATCATTAAGAGTCAGGATGATGATAGTCTATTTACATTGAAACTATTTCTAATAATAGAGCAAACCTGGCTCTACCGCACAACTGTTAAAGTGTCATGCCCACCAAAAAGTGAAGTCGGTGGCGGTTTGAAAATAAGGGATTTTGGCGTGGCGAAGGAGTTGCAGTATTTAATAATTCTATGCACATGTGGGTCGGGTCGTGCGGGTCTGCACATTATCTGATCGTGATTCTTTGTCATTTAACTCTATAAATATCTAGTTGGCATTGTTCTAGATCTATCTATTGAAAAATCATAAGATTTGTGTGTTACTTTACTTTTTTGAGTTGTTATCGGAGCTTGCTCTGTTCTGAATTTTCCGGCGGTTCCTTTACCACTTTGGTATCAGATTTTGCTCCATTTCCACTTAATAAAATCATTTATGTTCGAGGTTTAACATTTGGTATATGAGAGAGCTTTGCGTTCCTTGGCCTATTTGGATTCATGGAGTCCAAAAAAGCTGGGAATCAGGCAGTAGTAGACTCCGGTGATCAATCGGTTAACTTGCAGATCTTGGAGCAATTGAAGGAATTGACGGGGAGTAATGCACCGTATCGAGTTGAGGATGCAAGATTCAAAGTGGAACTTTCTCAATACATCAACAAAATCCTTCGAGATCGATTTGAAGCTTTGGAAGCTAGGATATCTGGAATTGAACGATCGAAGGAGCTTATCCAAGGATCTCCTAGCTGTGTGGGTAAGAATTTGGATCCTCAATTTATTCCATATGTATCAGGTGTTAAGACTGGAAAATTAGGTGATAATTCTGTTAATTGTGGTTCTAAAATTGTTCAAAGAACGCATGCTGAAAAAGTAGTTGATAATCATGAGTATGGAGATAATAGACACCATAAGAAATGGAAACCTAGGCCTAAACTGGAATTGTCGAGTTTGTTGGTGATAATACTAGAGGATGGTTGAGGAAATGCCAGAAATTTTTCAGGATGTATGAGATGAGTGAGGAAGAGAGATTGGATTCTGTGGAATTTTATTTGGATGGTGCAGCAGATGTGTGGTTTCAAGGTTTTAAGCATGTACATCCTAATGCTGACTGGTTGTTGTTTGAGATTGAGTTAATTAAGAAATTCAAATGCACTAATATTGATGATCCTATTGAGGAATTTAACAAGGTCAATCAGAATGGCTCAATGAAAGAGTATTATGATAAATTTGAGGAGCTTAAATCAAGGGTGTTATGTGTGGATCCCAGACTGACCGAGTCCTACTTCATCTCCAGTTTCGTGAGTGGTCTCAAGGAAGATTTTTAAACCATTTATAAGATTTACAGAGCCAAGAAAAGTGCAGAGAGCTTTTGAAGCAGCCAGAACTCAGGAATAAACCTTAGCATTAGCTCCAAAGGTTAGGGTTCCTGTGTCTACTATGAGTAAAACTTCTAATGATGGTGGTAAGGTTGCTGCTCAGGGAGCTAACCAGAGCAGACATACCAGTGTTTAAGAGGTTGTCACATGGGGAAAATGAATACAGGAAGGTCAACAACCTCTGTTGAAAAATTAATGATTCATGGGGACCAGGATATGTCTGCAAAATGGAGCATGTAAATTTGATCATTATGGATGATGATGTGGATTTGGAACATGTTAATTGGTTAAGTGATAAATTGGAATCAACCTCTGAATTACAAGTGCATGCCATTTACTCTTGGAACGAATGCTTTGCAGTGAATGAAGTTGATGAGTAGCCAAGGAGGTTGATAGAGGTGTTTGCTATATATCAACAATGAGTTGATAAAAATTTTGATTGATACATGTGCATTCAGGAGTTTCATTAATCACTCTCTAGCACAAAAGCTGGGTTTGGTCGGAAAAACAGTCAAACCATACTATGTAAAGATTGATGATGGTCATCAAATAAGGAATAATGTGATATGTCGAGTAGCCAAGTGGACTATTCAGAAGCATCACTTTCAGTTTGACTTCAGGATCATGGAGTTGAGCAATTGGGGAATACTTTTGGAAACAGATTGGATGCCATACTTTAGTCCTATCCTGTTTGATTATGAGAAATGTTTCATCGAGCTATCCTGGCAAGGCAGAAGGTTTATGATCCAGGGACATTCTTTAGCAGCTGAGGAGGAGATACAAGGAATTCTGAGACAAACAAAGCCTAAGTGACATAGGAAGGAGGTGTAGTTCAACCTTTTAGGTTAAAGGATGAGGTGATGTGAAGAAAATAGTGATGACCACAAGAAAACTAATCACCAACATGTGGCAGTGATGGCTTGTTTGGAGGAAATAGAAGTTCCACCAAATGTCAGGGTTGTACTGGAGAAATACCACCAGGTGTTTGAGGACCTATTTCCCTACCACCAGAGAGGTTGTTGATCATCATATTCTCCTGAAACTAGGAGCAGAACCTTTCAAGTTGAGACCCTATAGGTATCCACATGCCCACAAAAATGAGATTGAATCTCAGGTGGATGAATTGTTAAAGAAAGGGACTGCAAGGAAAGTGACAGTCCCTATACTTCACCAGTTTTATTGACCAAGAAGAAGGATGGTACTAGGTGGATGTGCACTGGTTACAGGCATTTGAATGCTTTAACAGTCAAGAACATGTACCCAATATTCCTAGTATTGAAGAATTGTTAGATGAGTTATGTGGATCTAGGTACATTTCTAAGATTGATTTAAGGTTAGGTTATCATCAAATCAGAGTTTGCAAGGAGGATGTACCAAAAACAGCATTTCAGACTCATCATGGCCACTTTGAATTTTTAGTGATGCCCTTTGGACTTATTAATGCTCCAGAATCTTATGAACAAAGTTTTTAACCTTATATCAGGAAGTTTCTTTAGGTCTTTTTTGATGATATACTGATGTACAGTGTTTCATTGGAAGAGAATGTGATTCATTTTGATAAAATGATGCAAGTCCTGGTTGATAACCAGTTATATGCCAAGAAATACAAGTGTTCCTTTGCACAAACTTTTATGGAGTATCTTGGCCATGTTATCTCAAGCAAAGGAGTAAATATGGATCCTGCAAGGTTCAAGAATCACAGAATGGCCTATACCAAAGAATGTCAGAGAGTTGAGGGGATTCCTTGGTTTGACGGGGTATTATAGATGGTTTATCAAGGGCTTTGGACTGATAAGCAAGCCTCTCACAAACTTACTGCGAAAAGGTGAATTCAAATGGGATGAAAAAACAACCTGCTCTTTCCAATATTTGAAAGAAGCCTTCACTACTGCACCTGTTTTGAAACTTCTTGATTTTTTACAAGCTTTTATTGTAGAGATTGTGCTTGTGGTAAGGGTATGGGAGTTGTTCTGATGCAACTGGGTCAACCATAGCTTATTTGAGTGAAGATTTTTGTCAAAGAAACAAAGCCTTGTCAACCTATGAGAAGGAATTGTTGGCTCTAGTGATGGCCATAACTAAATGGAAGTATTATTTGCAAGAAAGTCATTTCATCATCAAGACATATCATCAAGCCCTTAAATATCTGTTGGAGTAGAAGATCACCACTCCTTTGTAGCAGAAATGGCTAGTGAAGTTGCTGGGATAGGACTATGAGATCCAGTATAAGAAAGGCAAGGAAAATGTGGCTGCAGACGCACTATCAAAGAATGTTGGATCTGTTGGTGATCACTTATGTGCAGTAACCACAGTTCAACCTATTTGGTTAGAGCAGTCGGCCAGCATGTATGATGATGATATGGAATTCCAAAATATGATTTTGGCAACTACTGTGGATGGTGATAACAATCCACATTTACTACAATATGTGTGTTGGGGGGGGGGTGTTCCTAAATTTAGAAGGGAGATTTATGTGGGAACTTAAGGAGATATAAGGAATTTGTTGTCGTCCACTTTTCACTCTTCTTCTTTGGGTGATCACTCAGGTCAGAAAACTAGTGATCAGAGGATAAGATCTTTATTTAATTGGAAAATATGAAGCAACATGTGGAGCAGTTTGCCAGGAGTTGTCAGGTCTATGAAGCCAGTTAAATGGAGCATGTTCACTATCCTGGATTACTGCAACCTTTAGCCATTCCTCAGCATGCTTGGCAAGAGATCTCCATGGATTTTATTGAGAAGTTACCATTATCTGTGGAGGGATTTGACTATTTGCTAGCAGTGGTAGAAATGTGGACTAAGTATGGCCATTTCATACTCTTGAAGCATCCATTTATTGCCAAAGAAGTAGCTGACCAATTCTTCTTGAAGGAAGTGTACAGGTTACATGGTCTGCAGTGGCGGAGCCAGGAAAAAAATTGAGAGGGGGCACATCAACACTTAGCATCAAAACAACTCTATATAAATGCAAGTGAAATTTTAAT